CTGGGTTATCTAGGTGATTCCCCTATTGTCAAGGATCCCTTAAGAGAGGGAGACTGAAGTATCAGCATCAGAGAAAAAGTGACCTGAGCAGCATGTTTACACCTTTAGACTATCACTCCTATCTCTGTCAAGACTGAAGGGAAACTTCTTTTCAGTGGACAGTGGTTCCTGCAGAGATTCATCATCAGTCATGCTGCTGAGGATAAATGGCTGTTGCATAGTGGTCCATTGCTCAGCTATGAATAGAAGAAAAATCAGAAATACATACCATTTTCTCTAAGGCTCAGGGAACACCATAGAGGAGAAGCAGAATGACTCCTAAAGGATGGATCAAGGGGTGTAGTATAGTGTAGCTAGTTCTTTTAAAATGAAATATTCCCTGCTGAAGTGGGTTGGAAAGTGCCTAAGATCCAAGATGCTCAGGAGGATCAGAAAACTCACAAAACACAAGGCTCAAATGAGGCTCTTTCTGCACAAATTGATAGGAGTTAGGAAACCCCTCACTGAAGCTGGCTGAAAGCCAAGGGAACTCCAGTGCTACAACTTTCGTGAGTCACCATCACAGTGGGGTTGGCTTTTTTGTGAGGCAGTTGCCCCTGAGTCACCTGTGCTCCTGTAATAACCTCTTACTCATATCCCTACACTTGACCTTGGTAAGCTCTTTGGTTTATCATCTTAGTATAATTGTTTCTTTGGTCTGCTGTCAGTGTCCTATCAGATATGAGTAGACATTCACATAATCCTGTGAAACAGTGAAACAGTGGTTGCTTTTCTCTGAAGACTGGGACCAAAGCAATGATGATGTCCATTTGTAATTGTGTTCAAGTTTGTGCTGATGGTTCGAGCCTTCCGTAAGTGAAAACATGTTTCCCAACATGTTCTCATATGAAAAATGCTAATGAATCCACTAATGAAAACCCACCAAAACTGTTCAGCAAGGCTTTTTGGATGGCTATTTTGATTGTCCACTTGACTACCTCTGGAATTGATTAAAACCCCAAAATGGCATACCTATGAGGGAACTTGTTTAATTAAATCACTTGAACTGGGGAGTTCCACTTTATATTCTGGATCTTTGAGGTGGGATGACACACCTTTAATCTAGGACTTCTGAGGAAGAACCACCCATAAACAGGGCTACCCATATGCAGGGCTAAGCTTGCTAGAAGCCTATATTCAAGATGTGGAAGAAGGGAGTTTGCTATTTGTCCAATCGTTCTTTCCCTGGCAAGGAACTCCATTCCTTCACTGGCATTAGCTCCTACTTCTTTGAGATTCTAGCATATACTGAAGACAAGCTGAGACATCCAGTCTCATGGACTGAACAACTACTGGATTCTTGGACCTTCTTGCCATTGTTGTAAGCTATCATGCCACTCTAATCTCTCTCTCAGACACATGTATATATAAAGAGCTTCTATATTCCTGAGAATCCTGACTAACATAGCAGTAGAACATGAAATCAATAGACACACATTTGATACATGTGAAGTAAACTCACAATAATTCTATCATAACAGCATAAAAACAGAACAATACCTGGGAACTAATGGAACAAAAAGACTGCAAAACTAATGGAATAATGTTATCAAAATGTGGACCAAAGTGTTAGAAGACTTGAATAAATAAAAAGTTGTCTGTGTTCACAGATTGGAAGATTCAACACTGCTGAGATGTTGACCCTTACAATGATTTACAGAACCCAGACAAGAAACCCCAGCTGATTTACTTATACAAATCAACACGCTGAATTATTATTTCATATCACTTCTAAAAATTAATATAATGTTGGCAACCAGAACCCAAACATAAGAGCAAAACCCTGTAAATACCAACATAGGAGTGAATATTCACGATAGTGGGCTTAGCAAAATCATTCTTTCACAAAGTGTGTGTGGTTTACATTTGTGTGCAGGTGTCATCCTTAGGTCTAGTTATGTGGATGTGTACGAGAATGCTTGTGTGTGTGCAAGTATGTGCACATGTATTTGGAGGCCAAAGGTCAACCTCAGGTCTTGTTTTCCAGGCATATTTCTTGGCTTGCCAATTAGACTGGGCAGGCTGGCTAGCCCACTCCAGGATCTGTCCACCCTCACCTCCCTCCAACTATTAATAGAAGCAGGAACGACCACACTTGGCTCTTTACATGGGTTCTGGTGTCATGCCTGTTTGGCACTTTACTAAAAGAGCTATCTCCCCAGTCCTAGCACAGTTTTCTTTTTGTTCTTTATTTGTTTTTGTTTTTAAATAAAAGACCATAATAACTTGATTCTTTAAAAACCATAAGTTGTAGTGGTAATACACTGTGCTGCTGAACAATTTTAAAGAGTTATAAAAAACAAAATAAACATTTCAGTTGTTTTATTTCTGTTATTAATGAGCAAGCTAGTAATTAAAACCACAAGTCCAAAGAAGAGTTAAATAGCAGACACATCTATGGTCAGGGCTGCTAAAAGAAATCTCCTGATAGACACAGAGCGGTCTAGTTACATGCAATAATAACCCATTTTGTTTGTACAGAACAAAAAAATATGTGACTTATATGAACAGGAACCATATATAAATCACTGTCAGCAGTTAAAACACACAGCACCCAGAGCTGCAAATTAACCCAAATCAAGATGTGCTACAGAGTGAGGTCATCCAGACTAGGCTCCATCATCAACGGAGATATCTAGGGATGTTTCTGCCTACTTCAAAGCTTTCTGAAAGTTTTCATGGCAGCAAGTGGTGTGCCTGCATAAGGTTTGATAAGTGAAATTTCTCTGCTGTTGAGCTAACTTTGTTCCATTCTAAAATTACAATTTCATTACATTTTATTTTATTTAAATTATTTTTTATTTTTCTTTCTTTCATTAAAAATAAAACTGTGTCACACTGGGTCTGGGTTTCCTCACTCAGGGTAATATTTTTTTCTATCTCCTTTCATTTACCTACAAATTTCATTTTTTAAAAATGTCTGAGAAATACTCCACTGTGTAAATGTACCACATTTTCTTTATTCATTCAACTACTGACAGAAATCTATGCTGTTGGTGTAGATTTTCCAATTATTGGATATTATGAAGAGAGTAGGGATAAACACGGGTGAACAAGTGTCTCTGTGGTGAGGTTAAGCATCGTTTAGGAATACGCCCAAGAATGACACCGCTAGGCCTTGAGGCAGGTTGATTCCCAGTGTGAAGAACCGCCACACTGATTTCCGTAATGGCTGTACAAGTTTTCAGTCTGACCAGCAGTGAAGGGGTGTTCCCCTCACTCTACATCCATGCATGCATAAGCTGTCATTTCTTTTATTGGTCTTGGGCATTCTGATAGGTGTAATAGGAAATCTCAAAGTAGTTTTGATTTGCATTTCCCTGAATTACAGATGGGCCCCACAATGGGTTTTTCATTTATTTTCATTCATTATCACAGAGATGTAGAGAAAAACAATTATTTTAAAATTCAAAGCAACCTATAACCACACAAATGAATAATGACATACTGCATTTAGGCAAGATCAAACATTATATCCTTCCCAGAGAATCCGGGATGTGCACAGTGCTGTGGAAACTGGATGATAAAGGGCATTCTAAAGAGCTCAGGGAAACTATACTTGGACTTATAACTTCTATTACCATCAGGATTTGAATGCTGGGCTATAGGCCCTCTCCTCCATCTGCCTTTTGGCTTGTTGCTTTATCCTTCCTGGTATCAATGCTCAAAAATGTGGTCACCACTGGATCTCAGAGAAAGTTTACTGCTTTTGACCTTGGATACTTGCAAGTGATGGGGGGGGAGTGTAGAAATTAAAATAGTTGATTTATGTTGCAATGTTTTCAAAACACTTCTAATGGGAGCTCATGTCAGCTTCGGCTGAACAGCTTCAAAGCCCATCACACACTTATGTGCGAGGAGGAGACCTGCTCTTTCTTTTTAAACTGACAAGTCTCTAGATGTATTTCAAAGGAGTTCTAGTTTTCCTAATTGTTTCAGCACTGACTTATAGAAAGGACTTAAAAATGTTTTTTTTTTTTTTCATCTTCAAACTATTTCAGTGGTGAACATGTTAGAAAAGAATGACATGGTTGTACAGATCTCTTACATAGCCTTAGGTAGACCATGGTTAATCATGGCTGACTGACTCCATGTCGGGCAGGTTTTTCTTTTCTTTTTGAAGGGTACATCAACATTTATTTAATAAACAGATTCCACATTCTTCTTTTTTCAAGTCAGTAAGTTTTTGCATAGCTTAGTTCAGCTCATAATTTTTGGAAAACATTTTAATATTTAATAACAGCAGCTAATCTGTGAGTACTCAAAGGCTTGATTATGAAAACCACTTCCAAGTTCAGAACTTTAGCTACTTCTAAAAAGTAAAGTGTGGTTCTTGCATACAAGTAAAGAGAGGAGTTGGGCATCACAGACATGATATCAAGAAGCATAAAACAGAAGAAAAACTGACTTTATCTGAATTTAGTTAATTAAGTTTTAGGAAATAAAAATATCAGCAAAGAATTTTAAGAAAAAGATGTGATGAACTCATAGCTAGCACATGTGAAGGACTGACAACCCATCCAAAGGGAGCAATTCAATTAGCAGATACAACCCTGATACGACTTTCTCCAAAGAAGATAACAAATGTCCCACATTAATTATAAACGCATTGCAGGCCCATCATAAGTCATTAACAAAACAAGTCAGAATTATAAGTACACCTTCTGTGGCTGCAAGCAATGCAACAGAACAAAAATGGCAAGCACAACTGAGGGTACAGAGTTGAAACACTCAGATGGTGGTGGCAGGGATTTGTAATAGTGCAGGGACTACAGAAACAGCCTGGCAGTTCATCCGTAGGATAGCTATATTAAGGGTAAGAATCACTAGGTGTGAGGCACATGAATGGGAACAAAAGGCTTACCCAGAGACTCATGTTTTCCAAGTGCCATCTCTGATCAAAACAAACACCCTCTCCTCAGTGGGAGGACAGACCCCCTTTCTAGAAGGATTTTACTCACTGAGGTTCCATTGCAGGCCTGTTGTTGTCACGCGGCTGCAATGCTGCCCGACAGGGACAAGGCCGCACCAGCTGCCTTCCATCCCAGTGTTTACATGGAGCCTGTGCTTTCCCTGAAAAAGAAGAAAGGCAAGTATGAAAAAGGGGAGAAAAAGACAGCCTGCAGCATGCCACTAGCCCTTAATGTGGCTTGACATAATGTTAACCGAAAATTAACTTAGTGCATCCTTTCAGCTGATTTAGACCTACTGTTCTATACCAGCTTCCTGTTAATTACAAGTTTTACATTTGATAAATTGGTTAGATGGGTTCAGAGCACACAGAGAATTATTTTTGATATCTTCTAATTCTAAAGATACCATCCATTGTACCTGCTGAAGATGCAACCTTTTGTGACACTGAATTCTAGGCTCACAACCAAGTATATATATAATGTATTTATACATATAATTATATATAACAGGCGGTTTCCCAAGTGAAGTCTTTACTCATCTGAGACTCAGGTTTCTAACCTTCAGAATTCAATGTAAGCACTAGATGGGTATTCTGTCTCCTGTGGCCATCACTAAGATCCTCACGATGTACACAAAGTTTCTGTCAACTTGACACAAAGTACAGTCCTTTGGGAAGAAGGGACCTCAACTGAGGAATTATCTCCATCAGACTGGCCTGTGGGCATGCTTCTGTGAGCTTTCTCTTGATTAATGATTAAGTGGGAGGGCTCAGCACACTGTGGGTAGTGCCACCCTGGGCAAGTGGTCTTGGGTTGTATGAAAAATTAAGCTGAGCAAGCCCCAGAGAACAAACCAGTAAGCAGCATTACCCCATGGCATCTGTTTCAGTTCCTGCCTTCAGGTTCTTAGCTTGGCTTCCTCTCAAAATGTTCTGTAAATTATACACCAAATAAACCATTTCTGTCCCAAGTTGGCTTAGGTTAGTGTTTTATCACATGCCGAGAAATCACCAAAACAACAGAGAACTTTTTATTTGCATAGTCATTCTGAAAAGGCCTAAATATAATTAAATTACTTTTAGAGCAATACATTTTATGCTTGGTGTCTGCTGCTGAGAGATGGATAATCAACGTGGCTGTGTCATGCAGGAGATAATATGTATAGAGAAGCATGGGTAGACTGTGGTACAGATAATAGGCCTGAGTGGCAGATATGAGCCTGCCGGACGAGATGTGAAGAACCCTTTTGGTCAGTTATTAAGGGGAAGGGCTCAGCCCAGGGTTGGGAGTGCTATCCCAGGGTAGATCGTCCTGGGTTGCACAAGAACTTAGTTCATTCATGTTGTGTTCACTTATGTCTCCACACCAACACTTCAAGGGAAAACAATGAGTCAAGATTGGTCCCTCAGTCACGAGGTTAAAGATGAACCACATGAAGGCACAGTAAGGCGCACACTGCAGGCAGTGCATGTGTGCACGGGGCTGGGGCTGCATGTGACCTGTACAATGTGCTCAAGTGGAAACCTCTAAAAGTAAGAACATGTAAGTTTTAAAAATGCCTCACAGCAACCCTTCAGTTCTCCCCTCCTCAGCATGGCAGTAGGATGGCGGGTCTGAAAACTCACTAGATGAGCAGGACCTCCCAGAAGGATCAGGAGTGACTTCTCAACAGCCAGTACGACTGGTTCTGACTTTTCCTCTAAACACCCTTAATTTTCTGCAAGGCAGGTATGTCTTTATTGCTTTGTATGCTTTTCTTTTAAAGGGACTAAGTTTGGCTACTTTACTTGATTCTCCCTTTTCTACCTATTCTCCAAAGCAAAGTTATTTTCTCCAAGATAGGTATTCAGAACACAACTTACACTGAAATCATAGATACCACACACTGCACAGTTTAACAAATCCTGAAAGAGGTGAAGGTGTTTCTTTTATAATAATAGCAGTTGCTGGCAGAAGGGGTGGTGGAAATTCTCAGTTCTTTACAAATGTTTTGCCTTCAGAAGGAAATTATGCGATAGCATTTCACGAAGTTAGAGCCTGGCCCAGTTTCCTACCTAAGGATGGACATCTAGGGCTCCAGGAGAAATATGCCATACTATTGGAGGGGTGACAGCTAAACTGTAACCTTTTGGTATAAAGTTGTAGATACAGACTGAAGAGGGCTAGAAGAGGGAAGGTTGGAGACTGCACAGAGGCCCAGACCTTTGCCCCTTTGGTATTTCTGACAATGAGGTTGACTTCCTACTGCTTATCAAGGAGGGATTCCCACATTATGGGTGTATCTTATTTTCACTGTGTTTATATTTATCCTGGCTTTTAATGACTCTTCTTTTTTTACTACTTTATGTTTCGTCAGAAACCAGCTAAATACATTGTATGTTTGGTGTTCTAAAAACTCTAGTGAAGAATGATGAAAGAAATGAAATAATTTTTCAACTGGTGGAAATGAACTCCCTGTGAGAAAATTCTTCAGCTTCCAGCATATAATATAAAGGAAACAGAACCTATACATGTTAAGTTTTATTATCCTGGGGAGAGAAGCACCAAGGTAACTTCACTGATTTAAGCAGCACAGTGGGAAGCCTCCTTCCTCAGCTTTGCTAAGTATTCATGGCCTTTCTCATTATTCTAAGAACCAATGCACCTTAACATTTTCATTCCGAGAATAAACTAGTATGGAGACTTGAGAAGTCACAGATAGGTATTAGACTATCATCGATTAGCATTTGTTTCTTGCTTTAAACATGTGTTTTGCCATATGTGAAGGGTCTCGGTGTTTATAAATATGCAAATTTAGTTTTTATGGCTAAAAGAGAACAGTATTATGCTTTCATCCTCTATTGGCATGTCAATGTGACATCTCTAAAAAAAAAATGAATGACTGGGTGAAGGAATTTTTGTTCATTCCCTAGATTTCTCAATTTATAATATATGCTAGTCTATATGAGATTTGACAGAAGCAGGCATCCAGCCTGACATTAAAGAACTCCTGCAGGATTTATGGCATCACTGAAGACCAGAGGCACATGAACTAATCATTCACTTCCATATACTCCCATGAATCACTGCACAGGTTCCTGCTCCATCCTCTGTTCTCAGCTAAGATAACTCTTTGAAGTCAAAAGCAGTTTTATACAGCAAAGGAGAAACAAGAATCAATCATGGTTTGCCTCTTCAGTTGTGGTTATTGGAACATATGCAGCAACCTTCATGTGGTATGAAGCTATAGTCTGGCAAAAACGCAGCAAAGATATTGCAAGGTATGTGTACTCAAAATCATGCTTAAGATCATGCTAAGGACAGAAGTATCATGCAATCAGTTTCCCCAGACTATAATTCTAACATAGAGCAAAACATATACAGAAATATAGATATTTATTGATTGCTAAGGGGTCATTCCCATCACGTTTTATACTGTGTTTCTTTACTGCAAGGAATAAAGGCATATTTTTAAAAAAGAGCTCACCCTGGATTTTGCCAGAGAAACCAAATATGAAGACATTTTAATTCAATTTATATTACAAAGTCCTTAAATTTAGCAACTATGCCAATATTTGCACAAAATATTTTAGAATGCCTTAGTATGAGCCTCACAAAATGCATAGCAAATAGAGAATATCATCAAACACAAAATACAGGAAGACTATAATGACCTTTTTAATTAATATAAAAGATTCAAGACACTGGTGGTTCACAAAGCAGACAGTCATTCATTAAATTGCTATTAATACTCAAAACACCTTGTGTTAAATTCTGTGTATGGTGCAAGTACACAACTAGGCATAGTATGAATGAAACACTCCTGCACACTGATTAAACACAAGGCCAACCTCATCATCTTTTGCCACACTGTCCAGGTACTTTAAAATGCATTAGCAAAAAGTGCAAGAAAGTAAACAGCCTGCAGGAAAAACATTAAATGAAGAAGATAAAAGGATCCACACTATGTGGACCAGAAGAAGCTGTTAGTTTGTGCACACACCAACTTGGATTGATAAATTTTCATGCTGATACTGATCACATAATGGAAAACAGTTACACAGCAAATGGTCTTTCCAGAGAACTTACATTTGCAAAACTCCACAGCTGGAAGACTCATGAGACTCTGATTTTTCTGAATAGGTACAGAATTCAAAACATTAGAGTAACAGGTTAGGTTAAATGGCTGGCATTAAGTCAGTGTTAAAATGTCACACACACACACACACACACACACACACACACACACACACACACACGCACTCCCAAGTCAAATAAGACTGGAAAAAAGACTTCAGAGATTGTCCTCTTAGAAGTCACAATATCTGCTTGCAAATTCCATATTCTACAATCTAGAATCTAACACCACCACCAACAAAACACAGACTGAACAATAGTTTTTCTTAATGATCTGAAAATTCTTATGAATAATAATTTAAACTCCCTTTGTTCTTGAAGTAATAACTCATTTCCTGAGGAAGCTTTATTTTTGGAAAGTTCATTTTAGGAAATCCACATAATAATGATGACTTGGGAAGTCACAGTCCTACCCCCACATAAACACACACACACACACACACACACACACACACACACACACACACATTGAGAAATACAGCCATGTATGCTGTATATAATTTTGACGTTTTTGTTTAATGTATCTATAGCCAGAACATTTCTGAGACATGTTTCAAAACTGACAACTTATATTTGACTTTATTCTGGGAATTATTTGGTAAAGTCAGACTGACACGAGTTAACCTGATTCTTTAGCAGAACAGTTAATATTAAGTGACTGACAAAAGAGAATCTTCATAATGCTAATTAAACCACTTTGTTTATTCAAGATTTAAAAAATTGGAGCAGGCTCTTTCCCCTGCTAAACCTAGAGTATCTCGAAATTCAAACCAATGAAATCACTACGCCTTTTATTTTCCCTCACATCTGCATTTATGCTTTTTCACATGTCCCATCCACCCTGTCTTTATGCTTCTCTCTTAATGGAATTAGAGGAAAGAATCTGCTAAATGCTGCCACCCTAAAGTGTTGGAAGCTTATTCCTCACCATTCTAATGGTTTTGTATTTTAAGCAATGACTTCTAAAAAATACTTCTTCTAGGAGTACACAATTCTAACAGTGGAAACAGGACAAGCTACACAGGAGGGCATTATAAGCCAGTG